TTCCTGAAAATATATTAGGCAAAAATTAGAGAATGCAGAGAAGTATATAATATGTATAACTACATTTCACCTCTTCAGAAGATTTAATTCTTTGAGGACTAAAGAAAATGCTTACTGGTCATCTGAGGCTACTAATGAGAACCATATTGGATCATTCCTGATTTCCCATTTAGCACTGGTAGCATCGAGCACAGCCTGTGGAACCCTGAACTCTCCAAATTTATGGGTCTTCTTCTGGCGGATCTTGCGCAGCTTTTTAGGTTCATCTGGTTCTTGAAGGGGATTGTTACTGCCTTTCTTCTCATCTTGAACTTTTAATATATTCGCATGCTCCTCGTCTTTGGTGTTACAGAGGAGTCCTTCATTGTCATGCAATTGTAGAGCTTCTGATTGAGCAACAGACACTTGCGAAGTCGACGTAGAAGACTTACTCGTATTTGCTGCTTCCACCAGACAATTTAAAGGTTTCCAAAGCTCAACTTTCCCATCCCCTGGCTCAGAACAATTCTCTCTTCCTCTATCAGGACTACCCACTTGTCTACCAAGTCGTCGTCTAGAATTCTGTAACAGCACGACCAGTGAGAATAAAGAGTGATATTTGTGTATGCATGTGGCAGATTGATAAGAGCATATGGCTGTGCACACACGAGGAAACGTATATTAGCTTCAGAAGTATATCTCTTACCAGCCTGGTACTCTGAGGAAATTTGTTCAAAGTCGAAGGTGCACTAGAGCTTTCAGGGTGGTCTTCAACAGGAACTTCGCCTTTCTTAAGAGATTTCTCTATTGTAAAAATGGAGCCTCTTGAAGCTTTTCTTGCAACAGATTTTGATCTTCTTCCAGTCATTCCACTGTATGTTGATATTCTTGGAGTGCTGACCAGGGAAGAGAGATATCTTTCCTTTCTCTTTGCAGGTAATGTGACTGGAGGCACAACTTCAGGAGCCTCCACCTTCCTCCTTTTGTATGGAAATATCTTAGCCCTCACATCTTGCAAATTATGATCCACCCTGATCACCAAATATCAAGTTATAGCCCCTATTTGATTTAGCTAAAAAGGTTGATAAAAATCTAAGTCAAAGTTAATAATTAATTTTAACCACATATTTTACGGACTTTTATCAACTTTTTAACCGTACATTTCATCGAATTCTATCAAAATTTACTAAAATCTGATTTTTATCTAAACCAAACAGGGGCATAAGCTTTAACGAAAGTTTGTCTCTCTCCAAATTTACAAATTAGGGCATTTGCAAGCATTCAAATGGAACCAAAAATTTTGTTGTTGAATGAAGCCTATGAAAAGAGCTATAACTCAGATTAAATTTTAGAGTTCTCTGTTAACTATAAGCACCTTTAACTTCATATACCTATGTAATTATAATTCGAATGATTAATATATGGACCAATAGAATGAAAAGTGCTATGATTATGATTATGTTAGATAGAAATTAATGAAGACTTCCTCTAAGAAAAAAAAGAATTAAATATAGAGTTGAAATGCTGACCCTGCATGTGAAAAATACTACACTCACAGTGGAGGTAATATGAGATCCAAATTTCAGTTTACTAACCAGACAATGCTCAGTGTTTCAAAGGTATCCAAATGATTTGAGGGCGGTGA